GGCTGCAACCTGTACAGCATGTTCCTGCACAAAACAACGAGATTAAATCAAGCATCAGAGAAGATGCAATCGACACATGTGGTAAGCACCAGATACACGAGGCCGCTGCCGGTGTAACACGGCTACTGTTTTACAGCAAACATTTTTTTTAATGAGTAGAAAGACTATGCTTTAAGTTGACAATAAAAAGTACAATAAATACATAAACCAGTAACACAGTCATTTAGTATCATTACCAAGTAGTATGGACTGTACCTAATTGTATGTTGCTGTACTTTTATACAACAGGCAGCGTAGTAGGCTTGTTCACCCCGCCACCACCACAAACACGTTGTGCTATGATATTAAGATGTCACTGGATGATAGGGAGTCTTCAGCTCCATTATAATTTTATGGGGCCACCGTCCCACGTGCAGTCCATTGTTGACCAAAACATCACAATGGGTGCATGACTACAGTCACGTCTAAGACAAATGGGAGACTTTAAGTGCTGTTCTGTAAACTAAAAAAGATCCAAACTGGAATTTGGATCTTGGATATGCCACTAACAAGTTCTGTGACCCTAGGTCAGTTATTTAATCTCGATTACTCAATTTCCTCATCTGTAAAATGGGTGTGAGAATCCCTACGGCTTCCCCGAGGTCATGTGGATAAAATGAGACATCACTGCAAAGGCAAGAGTTTAGCCAGTGCTTGGCACAGAGGAAAAACTGATTAACTGTGAGCTCCCTTCCCTCATAATATAATGTGATATTTAGAATTTTAATTCAGGCAATTACTTAAGTAGTAATTGCTATTTGTATTTACATAGCTGCTTTGATCTAAGAAGCTCAAAGGGCTTTTAATAAATTTAGCATTTTAATAAATGTTTCATTTGCATTCCATTGATTTTGTTTACTCACACCAAAATTTGAAATTTCCTAAAGCAAGACAGACAAGCTAAGAAAACAAGATAATATCGTTGTGTTTACAGGTATCCCGGGTCTGAGTTTTGTCTATTTATCTAAGAAGTCATGACTCCTGGTCCTGTGGAATAAAAGGACCGTGAGAGGCGTGAGGGTGCCTGCTGTGCCCTCTGCTCCTGCCTGCTCAAACTCCTCCCCACCTCGCTTCTCTCAGGCACTGACAACCGAGGTGTTTACTGCACCAGTGAATTTATATACAATCAGCACAATACACATTATCAAATTGTCGGGGGAAAAAAACCAAAGCACGAAGCACGGCACCAGTTCTGAATGCTAACAATGCGAGTGTCCCTGACTGCACGGGACAGGCTTTTAACGAGCCCGGATCTGAGCTGCTGTGGTCTCACCAGTCACATGGGCTGCTCTGCTCCTCCACTAACAGTGCTGAATACTGATAGACGTGTTCGCAACAGGGAAGTGGGCTTCTACTGGCAATCTTTACCAAAGTGTGTTTTCTCCCTTCTCTACACTCGCAGGTTTACCCTGAATGATTTAATTATAATTTTCCTTGTGTAAGACAAATTAAAGAGGAGAGTGGGAGTGTCGTGCCAAGTGCATTATTTATCTCCGTAACAGATTGCTGCTCACCAAGCCCCAGTGCTGGAGCTGCAGCGGCCGCTCACAGGCCCACAAAATGCATGGGGGCAGAGAGTGGAAGGAATTTCCCCAACGGGAGAAAGCTGTAGCCCAGGGGAGGCCATTAAGACAGCTCACCACTTTACAAACAAAAACTCTGACAACACTGTCTTTCCCCAACAAATTTTCACTCCTAAATCCTTTCAAAAAGGATTCTTAACCTAAGATTAGCGTTTGAGAGGCTAGATTATGATTCAGGGTGCAGGGGTTCTTGCTTGTTCAGATGCTGGTCCAGAAAATTGGAAGGGGAAAGGACGCAACACGGAAAGTAAGGGAGAGCTCGGAAGACAGGCACCTTCCAAGCGCACAGGTGAGTGAGTGCAGGACGCACCTTCGCCAAGAGACGCATGCGTGTCTAAAACAAGGTAAGTGAGAACCTATCACAGTGAGAGCTTTTTGACCATTTCCCACTATTTACACAGGATACCACACACGATTTAAAATTAACCACAACAAGGTAAAACCGCATAACATTCATCGTAAGTACCTATATGTACATAACAATTGAATTTTTATCAATCAGTGTTCTAAGTTTGTAACTACTGAATTATCTTCAACCTCGGGTGCTCATTTGTATTATTCGCTACACTCAGTTAAATGTGCGAACTAGCATTTTCTTTTAATCCAGCCACATCTAGGAACCTACCAGATAATAGAAACTGAGATCCAAGAGATGAGTTTCGTAGTTGTCTCTTCTCTGCATGTACAATGGGAAAATTGTGCCTGTTTTTACAACCAGATTAGGCTCAGTACAACCCAGATTCTCTTCTGATCCATATTCTAATTCTGGAATGCAGTATAATGAAGATAATGCTCAACTTTTGTGCAGATAAATAAGGACCATAAAAAAAATCACACAAGCTTATTCTCCTGGAATTGGACTGTCTCTTAGATTCACTTACTTTCCAATGTGCTTTAACCATGAAAAGGGCTATTCTTCTCGCATTTGCCTCACTGCTAATCTATCACCTGACTGCAGATACGTAAGCTTTTAGAATGAAACTGAGCACAGTGCATCTAAACAAGACGAGTTTTTGTGTTCCGGGGAATCTGTGCAGGCTCCACACCGCCGACAAGGCTGCAACGAATACCTTAAGTGCATTGGTCGGCATTTCTCGGGGCGTGGGCCCGCTCTGCCTGAGCATAAAGATGTAATCCAATCACTTCGCAGTAAATGGACTGCATCCATCTGAGGACACCAAAGGCAAGTACAGCAAAGGAGAGCAGCCCAGGGCCTTTTCTTTAAAGCTACCTAAGATTTCATATTTTATTTTTTAATTACAAAGACATTGTAAGAGATTACAGAGCGAGAGCTGAGACTGACTTCCAGACACACCATTCTAGCCTAACTGGAAACAACAGGCCCATTCGGCCTGATGGCTCCAAACTGCTTCTCACTGCCCACCATTCTATTCTTCAAACTCTTCTAAACCAATAAGGTTAAAGCATCTTTTAGTTTGTCTCTGTCTTCCACAGAAACTCCAAAATGACCTTAAAAGGGTAGTTGCAAGTTTTGGTTAAAAGATACTAAAACTCAATTCTGGGAACTTCTCATGGGTGTTAGGTTTGAATGTGACACACACACACACATGCGTGCGCGCTCAGATGTTTTCTGATTATTAAACTCTAAATATATAAAATGTTGCTGGCATAAAGATACACATCTAATTAAACCAGTGGGCTTCCTAATATTTGATATTTCAAAAAAATATGAAATTATATTTGTAATTGCTTAAATGTAAAACATAATTAAGAAAATTTCACTGAGTCACTTTTATTAAAAAACAAAATGTAAAATTTGTTTTTCCTGATGGAAATGACACTATCACATATGATTTTTAAGGTTTCTTCTCTCTGTGGAAGCTCTGCATTAAATATGTAAGAAACTGGGCCGGCCGAGTGGTGCGCTGGTTAGGAGTTGGCTTGGGACGCCACCTCTGAACAGCAGGGCCCCGGTTCGGATCCCACATATGAGGGCCAGTGACGCTGTGCCCTCTACAGCTAAGATAGTGAACAACAGCTCGACCTGGAGTTGGGCTGCCGTGAGTCGCCGGTGATGGCATAGGCTGCAGTGGGGCTGGCTGGCAGCTGGCGTGAGCTTTGGTGAGCCGCCGTGAGCAGCCGTCCAATGGCCGGCGAGTGACTGCCTCACCCGGGGAAGAGCGCAATGATAATACCAACACGGGCCAGTGAAGCAATGTCCTCCACAACTAGACTGAAGAACAAAAAGAACAGCAATTTGTCTGTTCCCCTTCCCTGATTCCCCAACACTGTTCCCCTCCCCCAATTCCCCAAAAAAATCTTAAAAAAAAAAAAGAATTATATAAGAAACAGTTTAAAAATAGTAAACTGAAAAAAGTTTTTAATTTTAGGAGCATTATAATACAGAGGGTGCCAAAAATATATATACAGATTTTAAGAAAGGAAAAAACTATTAAAATGATGCTGATGGTAACCACTTTGAGCTCCTCTTGTAATTGCAGAAGTCAAACGTGACTTGTATTCATGTTCTGTTATCAGTATATACTGAGTGTTACAATTTTAATACAGTTTTTTCCTTTCTGAAAATGTGTATCCATTTTTTGGCACCCTCTGTAGATATATATTCTACTTTTGAAAAGCATCAATAGTAGTAGTAATGCTTCTGGGTGCTGAGATACAAGAGTGTGGATTAACAGCTTCATTTTCTTAGAACTGTATCTCACAGGATGCGTTCTGGGTCTCTAAAACAACCTTAGCTTTAACTAACATCCAAGTAAAGCTCAGGGCAATTAAAAAATATAAAGTCTTAACTTCAAGTAGGAATACGACAGTTGAGACAATGCTACAATATACTCCATGATCAAGAGAAACTGTGCTGTGTATGTTTGTGTGTGTACATACACAAGCCACTTCCATCTCGCCACTCTTCAAAACTTTACTAAGGGTTTACCATGAAAAACGCCATGTGCTTTGGGGACACAGTGTTGACAAGATGGAGGGCAGTGCAGAGTAGGCTAAGTTCTATTTTTTCGCAAACCATGATTAGAAATTGCCCATCGGAGACACTGCTGTTCCCTTAGCAGGTGTGCAGAGCCAAGGAGACCAGCTTGTATCGAGTGAGAACCTGGCAGAAAGAGAAGCCTGGAAGCCTTGAAACCCAACCCATCCAAAGAGAAACCAAAGGCTGCCTGGGTTCCTAAGTTAGGTTAGATCGACACAAGTGCTAATTCCATGTTGAAAAGGTGAAAATAATTAGATGCTTCACACCCAAACAATATTGAATCCATTCTTAATTATATGCACATTCAAGTCACATGGATTCAATCAGGGATTACAGAGCTAAGGCAGGGCTCAGCTGGCCACCCACCCCTCCATATTAAAGACAGTTTGGGACACATCTCAGTGGCACATTCCTACCTTTCCCTTTTGGGGGTGTGGACTGAGAGCTGTCCATTGGTAGAGGCATGTGGGTTCATTATTAAGGAGGTCTTGGAAGGGGCCGAGGAAGAGACACATGTCGTGGTCAGATCCAAGCTGCTGTGATTGTTGCCTGTGGTTTCTTCTGCAGTATGAGCACTTGTCACTTCTTTCCAGAGCTGCTGCAGTTCTGTTGGAATCATGCCTGAAACAAACAAATTGGATAATTAAATCAATTAACAGCTAATTCCGTCCTCTTCAAACAGTAATTAAATCAAAGAGTCAGTAAACAAAGCCTAGTGTTAGGGTTTTTTTTTTTTTTTTTTTTGGTATGTGCAGTTTTCTTTCCCCTCTCAACTCAAGCAAATAGGGTGGTAACAACCATGAACTCCCCCAGTGAGGTGAAGTGCCCTCACCACACATAAAAGGCACTCATGAAAAGGAATAGAAACACAGCCACTTTGCAAAGACAGCGTGCCTCCATCCAAACTGTAGTTTCTAGATTTGTGAAAAGAAGTAGATAGATGTTATCATATTTTTAGACACAAAGAAGGGCTCAAAATAAATTTGTTCAACTATACTAGTATGACAACACAAACCACAAAATGAATAATTTTTGTGCTTAAGTCTTAAATGATGACAAATAGCTTTGTTATTAAATATAGTTTTTATTAATCACTTTTAGACATAAATTATGAATTCATATCGTCTTCCTGAAATGCTTTTCAACTTTTAGCAGTCAAATTGATTATACTATGATTATTTCATTAACACACCTATCTTCCTCATTAATTTTGGTTTCTAGTACCACATGCTTAATTGATGGATGTGTCTACTGAAAAACTGTATAACTTTTTATACAAGTAACACTATTATTACTGTCATTTCTGAGATCAATGCTAATGAACCACTACAGAATAAAATGAAGACGTACAATAAAGTTGGATTAATAAAGTTCTCTTGTTATTTAAGGGGCTCAAAATGGACATGGGTCTTAGGCAGTCAGTGTCACCTTGTATTTTCCCCGAAAGAGAGAGACTCAGTCTGTCAGTCTCCCGGCTGTAGCCTCCTACCCTTTCTTCTGGTGGCATGCCTCTACAGCCCAGGATTTCCAAATTCTCCTTCAATGCAGATTCTAACGTACATGTGCACAGAAGAAAACTATTCTAAATGGCAACTGACAACAACTGCAGCTTCCTGAAAGGACTCCTGAAGGAAATCCCGAACCCCGTACATCATCAGGCAATTCCACATTAGGCCTGGACGTCTGGATCACAGTTCATTGTTTCAATCAACTGTAACATAGCTCTCCTAGAAAGCCTGTCATTTTCTGACGATATAGCACCAACTGAAACAGGAATGTTTCTTACCAAATCCAAGGTATTGAATTAAAAAAGGAGGCTGTGTGCATTATATTCATTTGAAACACATAATAAAAAATGCCAAGGTCTAAATTTAATTTATTTTTGTCATTTAGAATACAATGGATAGATAATCATCTCAACGTGATCAGCCAAACATCTTTACTTTGCTAAACTGTTAAAGATTTTAATTACGCCAGCATTGGAGAGCACTGGTCTAATGAGGCGATGGACTCCAGAGAATCTGAGTGGTTAAGAACTGTGAAATGAGTCTGATAGGAATTTTTTATATTCACCGTGGATCGTTTGCATATCAAAGAGGAGTAAATTATTGCACAGCAGACCAATAACCTTCTCCGCCTTTCTGAGAGGAGTGTTAACAAAAACAGTTCGTCTCTCCTAACGGTTCTCCACGCAAATGTTCAAATGCTCAAGTGTTTGCAATTAATATATATTATAAAGGAGGCTTCAAATGATACATTAAGTGGTCAGATATTCTTAGAACGCATCCTCCACAGCCAAGTCGGTTTTCTTCTTCCTTCATAAAAATCAAATGCCAATTATATTTTGATGGATTTTGTCTCAAATGAGCATTCAGTTATTAGGCATATTCAATTATTACTTGTTCCTCGAAATTAAACCTCGGAGGCAAATTAAACAAAGGGAAAGGTCACTACAGAATCCTGTGTCCGGAGTTGCTGCATCTGGGCTATTATTTTCAAACACCTTGTGAAGAGACATGTGGGGTGTGTTTGAAGCTAACGGGCCTGCCACTGATGTCTGCACACCGACAATTACCTGTGAATATGGCTGATCCTCTGACCACTGTTTACTCAATTGAAACAATAGTGAATGTGCTTGTCTGCTGATGATAGCATATTGATATAAAGCCACAGAAGTCAACACCTATTTTTATTTTCTAGGGAGGAAATACACTTGAAAAGAACAAGGTGCCTATTTTTCAACTCACACTAACTGATTTCTGGGTCAGCAGCATCGGAAGTGGGAAGGCTGGAGGAATGCGGTTGTGTTAACACTTTCCCTCCGAGGAAAGCAGAACTTTGAAGCCATTTAAAAAGTAAGCTGTGTATCCAGCAAATAAAGACAGAGGCAGCTGTCCTGTTCCACCTACGGAACACGTTTACTATTACTCTGCTCTCCTTTTATTCCAACGGGCTGGCCAGTCGCTTCGTCATCCAAGTGGAGAAATGGTAAATAAAAGAGTCACTGACCAACAAACAGGTGGACTTCCAGGTCAAATTTCAATGCGATCATTACACTTAAGAATATTCTCATGAGATTTGGAAGGAAGCAGTCAAATCGGTCTCCTCCATCAGCGCTACCCCTTGTTAGTGATGTTAAACTGCTAGTTCCATGGACACTACCCACCAGAGGATGCTGTTATGTGACAGCCAAGGTTTCATGATAGAATTAAGGCACATAAAAGGTAAGCCAGCCACTCATCAGACTAAACGGGGATCAAATTTCCAGAAAGCATGCGTTTCTTCCTAAATGGTGGGTAGGGATAATCGTATTGAGTTAAATAAATTCACTTACAGGTACATGACCAAGCATAGAATTTTCTCCTATCTATAGTTTACTCTTATAAATTAAAAGGTCAGAATGATGCTGAAAGTGTATTTCAATATGGAATTACTGGTGCTGGGAAGGGTCTGATGATTAAAGAGACCAAGGTGAAAAACAGATATGTTAATTATGTAAAACGGAGAGAAGGCCCTATAATAACCTTACAAACAATAAAAATATGCCTCCATTTCATAACCTTCAGGGAAGAAAAGGCCTTCAAAATATTACTCTCCATCTATTCCTATACTTTGATATGTACCTACATGTTTAAGGCAACTTAGCCATGGCCATGAGCAGGTATGTAAAAGAATTCCTGATGATTATATCATGAAGTGGGTACGACCAGCCTTTTTAACACACAACCCCTGTGCCTTGCTACCTTTCTTTTTTCCAGGATAATCGGCCCCTTCATTATAAAAGAAAATGCAGACACAGGTTTAAAAATGTATGTTGTGGGGACAGTTGACAGATTACTGTTCATGGAACTCAATTTACAGCCCCAGGTATCACTGGCTCAAAGACAAACAGAGTTGATCAACCTTTTTCTGTCCTTGTACATCCATACCCAGGTGACCATGTTCAAGCAAGCAGAAAGTTGATTTAAACCTCATAATGACATCAGTTTTAAGCCATCATCTCTCTGAGATCTCTCTCTCTCTCTCATGTGTGTGTGTGTATATATATATATATATATATATATATATATATATATATAGGGTTGTGCTGTAGTCCAACATGACTGAATTCTCAAGCCACTTTGGGTGAGGGGGTGGGGGAGACAGAGCCAAACTCCTAATTCCACAAATATGGCAATGATACTGGGCGTTCGCCTCACTGCAAGAACCTGACGTGACACACACATAGTATTTACATTTACGCATCTTAGGCACATATAAAGGTATCCTTCAAATTTTAAATATGCATCTTCCTAATGTTGCAGGGGCTAATAGTTAGTGTCCACTGCTAAGCATATCAATCACAGCCTCGGCTGGTGAATTACCTACCGGTGTCTCTGATATGTTACTGCAGAGATTACACTTCATGCATCACCACATTCATTTCTTTCACATTACACATGAGCTTGTCTTGTCACTGCCCAATTGCCCCCTTTTGGACAGCTTAACGGATGTACTATAACAATGAACCTTAGTGAGCCAGCTACCAGTAGAGGCCACAGTGGTGGGAAGAGGAGAGAGGCCCAAGCCTGAGTCTGGGGGGTGCGTGAGCAGCCCGCAGTGCTTCCAACGACAAGCCCACGGAGTAATTAATGCGTGTTGTGACGTTCTGCAGCACAAGAACACACGAGCTGGTGTGTTGCTCTCCCCAGGGCTGCTCAGTTATCACATCTCCTATTTTGATGGCAACAGAAATGCTGATTATACATCAAGCAGTTGAGCAGTAATGGCAGAAAGAGCAGAGGGGGGAGAGGAGTTAGAGGAAAAAGCCCTGGTCTCAACATGAAAAACATAAACAAAACCACAAAGAACCCCCAAAAGGGACAGGAACTGGGTGTGGTTGACTCAAGAGAAGATTCAGATGTGGGCATGCCTCACTGGCTCCACCTGACACCAAGCGTCACTGAGCGCGTGGCCATGCCTCACGCACACGTGGGGGAAAGAGGGCTCACATTTTCAGCCCTCTTCTGGGGGGCAGCTACTCCAGGCCCCAAAGGCTCCAGCTACCAGCCTTCACAGCACATTTACACATCCATCCAAGTGTGTGAGCACTGAAAGGAATGGAGCCTAAGGAGACAATGAAACCTGCTGTAGCACATGGGACAGGGAAACTATTTCAACCCAGCAGGGCAATTTCCTTTCCTTCCTTTCCTCCCCTCTGGTTCTGAACCTGCATTCACATTACACACGGGAAAGGCCAGGTTCTTAAACCAAGAGGACTAAGGACAGCTGGAATACTCACTTGTTTCTCGTGTGCAACACCCACTGGAATAACATGTCAGTGGCTTTTCAAAAGAAATTTTTAAATCCACGAACTCTTGGTATTTTTCAAAGAACCCCAGTTTTTGAAGAGCTAGAGATGAAAACACTACCTGTTCTGATGAGTGTAGAACTAACATGCTCCAAAATCAATGGTCCGATGAAGGTAAAAAACAAAGAAAAAGAGAAAGCAAGCCCCACAGAAAACAACTTTGTTTTTTGTAGCAGAAAGAGTTTAATCTTAATCGTTTACAGAAAAATAAACCTGACTCTATCTCTAGATATTAAAAAGGGGCATTTATAAAGCACCACTAAGATTTAAAACAGAACAAGTTACATGATATAAAATACAGCTTAAAATAACTGTATTTTACGAAAACCTTCAAGGAAATTCATTTGTTGATTCCAGACTGAAAACACTAGGAGGTCCGATTAAAACGCCCAGTAAATCAAAGCAGCACTGCTGTCTCTTATTCTAGGAGTGTGCAGCAGTGGGACCACGCCGCTACTGCTAAGCCTTCCATCACCGATGTCGTCATTTCGGCATCAACAAGCACTTCAGCTTCGACAAAAGTCCATCATTGTCACCTCATCCAGCTGCTCTTCTGAGTTTGTATGTACGTGTTTTAGAGGGGCAGTTTCCTTAATGCTGAGCTGGCATAAACCATGAGACACCTCCCACCTCTGCCCACAGTATTCCAGAGCAGTGCCTTCTGTATCATCAACACCTACCTTGGGCGAGGGGCTGGAGGGGAAGGGCAGGCTGCCCGGGCTGAATCGTTAGGAGGCCTTGGCGCTGCAAAGACAGGACGTGCTGCTGCTGTAACTGCTGCATCTGTAGAAGCTGCTGCTGAAAAGCCAACTGCTGGGTGGCCACCTGCTGCTGCTGTAAGAAATCAGGAAGGAAAAAAAAAAGGAGATGGCCACGTCCCATGGAAGGTTACAACACACACGCGCGCGCGTACGTGTCATCACCCAAGACTGAGAATGGTCACTGGCGTTGTGTCAAGCTCAGTGTCAAGCCTGGTGTAACGGGGACAGAACGCATCACCTCTGAACAGAGGTGAGGGGGTGGGAGCAGTACCCTTCTGCTGTCTGCTCTCACAGAAAAATAACTCGTCAATCAAGTCAGCTTTCCCCACAGTCTGAAAGGCCTGAGTGTTTGTAGTCAAGAGGTGAACTTGTAGACTTTGAAATTTTTAATTATAACACTAGAAAGAAGACTGCAGCACTCTAGTGGGAAGGGATTTGAACTCTGAACCTCTGAGGTGTGAGAGAACAAGCTGTCTTCCGCCTATCCGCCCGCCTGCACCGGGAGAAGCTTTTAACTACTCTGTTTATCACTTCTGACATAAATAAATGAGAAAAAATCAGACCTTTGAAGAAGAAAAACTTCATCTAATATTGTTAATTAGCCATGACAAACGATGAAATAACACTGTAAATCTTTCATAGAAACAGCTACTAGGTTTTAATTACATACATTCATAATTTAGCAAACAACATTATACTCAACTGTGAGTGTTTAATAAGAGGACACTAAGCTGCAGAGGCCTTCACTTGGCTGGAGTTTCAGAAACCCCTAGGTCTGCCTGTCAGTCCTGCTCCCCCACAGGCTTTGTTCTTGAAAAGAAGGGGCTTTACAATTTGATAAATATCTTTTTGTTGATTGGACAATGACAGGAGGAAAACTTCTGTTGTGTAAAACATTAATACATCACTCTAGTGTTTAGCAGACCTTGCTCCAGCCAAAAAAATTAATGTAGATTTCCTCAGTAATTATCTGAGTGATAGAAAGATAATACAGTGCAGTAGTACAATAAATAGAAGGAAATTATCTAATATCCTTAATCTGCTAGGAATCAAATCGAGGTGGAGGTCTTAGCCACATCATGGCTAACAATTATGAAAGGAAAATTAACTCTTCCCAAACTGTAGCCCCCAAAAAGGTTCTTTTTAGAAAAGAACAAGACCTCTTTGCCTAATTCTGAGCATTATTCAAACAAAACATCAGATAGACTTTCGCAACTAAAAGGACTCCATACAACACTTTCAGAGCTTCTAATAACTGTACTTTACAAACAACTGCATTCACTTAACCCAATGCATGACCTTGATCTGCTACATCCATAAAATGGTATGTGGATCAGGACCTTCCGATGGCAAAGTTCAAAGGAAGAGAAAAATAGTGGTTTCCTTTTGGTCTTTGTGTAGTTTATTTTACAGTAAAAACCATCATTCTCATATTAGCAACCAATTTCAGACTTACTACCATGCCACTGAGAAAGTTAATTGAGTTTCACTCCAAAAAACAAATTCTATACCACTAACAACAAAAATTTAAATAAATTTAAATGAAAAGCCAGTGTTTTCATTTTAAGAACAGCATGCATAAAATGATCCAATTGTTTTCACCCCTTCCCAAGTTATCACATTAATGTAAAACCCAATGATAGTTATATTCATGTCAAAATGATTTTTCATTTCTTCAACAGATATTAATTCACAACATTTTAAAAAAGGGGAAGAGAAAAAAAGAACCCGGGTACAAAAAAAAAAAAATCAGGGAATTAGCAATTCTTGAAGAAGAAAATAATGGGAGAGGGGGGTGCTGGAGTTTAGGGAGGGTGTTTCCTGTCTTACTGTAAATGAAATGTTTAAAAATTGTGTATTTATATAAAATGACTGATGGTTTTTCTGTTGTCTCTGTGGCCATCCCTAGGAAAAGCTCATGAAAGCTGTCCATGTTTGAAAAGCCAGGATATAAAAGTATACAAGGCCCATTGTCCAAAGAGAGAATTTAAAAGCAACACTGGTTGCCAAACTGCTCCCCACCCAGTTACCAAACACAGGATACGAGCCCATTTGTTTACTTCTCACAATTGAATGCACACAAAAAAGGTCTCCATGCAGTCCCCTCAACAGGTCAGTAGTCAGTGTTAGAATGCTCAAATGCCCTGATAAACCTTGCATTTCGGGTCCCCTCCCTGGTGCTGCAGTCAAAGGTCTGTTTTCCTTTCTCTGGCTCCTCCCTACTGCCTAACATAAACTGTCAGAGCTGCCGGAGGGGTGGGGGGAGAGACGGAACAAACAGCCCTTTTCAAACAATCGATTCAGCCTACCTCACCGGCACAGGATGAGATCTTTTTCTGTGGCTTGACTTACTATTAATTCTGCCTTCTAATTTTCCACACCCGTGCTGTCATATATTAAGGGGCAGTCCCTTAAATAGCTAGCTGTATGGGGCGATAGGGTATCTATCTCCTATGGAAGGTCGTAGGTCTAACTCAAAGAAAAAAACTTAAGAAAAAAACACCCTTGAGGCAACTTTAGGAAAAAAGCGAGTAAAAGTTCATGATTCTGGCCAAGGATCAAGAGTCTTACTGCAGTGGTAATCAAAAAAAGGAAAAGGGGGGGGGGTAGGGGGACCTGACAATTCAAAATTATGAGCCACTAATGACTGGGGATTCAGTAAATTAATATACTTGTTCCATCTGTCAACATCCAAGTTCAAACCTTGTTAAAGTCATAACCACCAGTCCACATCATGAAATTGCTACCATGTGACTCTCTTTCATTGTGGCACAAAAGGACCACCACCTGCATGATAATTTCAGGAGACTACGCCCTACCTCAGGAAAACAAGGATCTCTCAATCACTGTTCCAACAGGTCTCAGCCAAATCCACTGGCACCATGAATATATCTTGGAATCCAAGGAGACCTGCCCATGGGTCTGCTCCCCTCAGGAAGTTATGGAAACGTGTCTCCTGGATCACCTCTGCCTTGGAGACGGATGGCAAAGTGTGCCCACAGCAAACCTGGGGGCCCCTGAGGTGCTAGAGCGCTGCTGCGATGCCCCCTTTCTCCTCGTTCACACACCGAGTATTCCCTTCTCTCCCTTACCTCCCTCCCCAAACTCAGACCCCACCAGTGTCTTTGCATGCCGAGATGCCCCCTTTCTGACAGCAGCAATTTGGGCACGTTAACTTTTATCCTTCCTTCTGCTGCGTAACTGTCCCCTTCACGTTTCTTTATCTGCCCTCTGAGCACATCTGAACTTTCATGTTCTCCCAGCATGCAGACGAGCATTCCAAACTATGTGGAACAGACCAAGTAAGAGGTTAATAAGAAGAGGCAACAGAAAGGAAAAACACCATCCCTGCTAACTGATAAGAATGACAGTGGCAGCCCTTTTTTGTTTGTCTTCAAATATAGAGTTAAAGATCTTTAAAAAACTAAATTTTGATGCCTTTGAAAAGAAAGAAGCACAAAATAACAACAGGGGGTTATTGCCTGCGAGCCACAGGGGAGAAACTCCATAATTCTTATTCTCCCTTTTGAAGGCTGTTAGAAATCTGATTCAAAAAAGCAACAGCAGAAGGGGAAACCTCTTGAGGCTGTAACCATTTCCTGTGATCATGCATAATGTGCTTCAAAAGTGGGTTTTTACCAATTCTGTTGATCAATTGCACCTCCTTCATATCCCTTCTTTTTTCTGCTGTGTTTACATCTGATGTGACTCAATGACAAGCACTGTCTGAGACTGTGAAACAGGCCTGTCATGTTGATTTATGGGCGCATCAAACCACAACTTGTCCAAACTGAAGCTCGCAGTTCATTAATTAGAGAGTTGTGACTTTGAAGTCAGCTTTCAGACTGTGGTTTTTAACATTTGGCTTAATTTATATGCTCTTGAATGTGGATCTCTAAGGAAAAAACTGAAATTCCCTTCTTGTCTTTGAACTTCTTTTGACCGCACAATAATCATTTCTTTGTCCAGAGTGATGCCTGCAATCCCAGAGTCATTAACGCGCATTGAACTGCCACTGATGAGTAAGCCCCACTGAATTAGAAAAACAGCCAGCAAAACAAAGCTGAGAGCCTTCTGCACAGTGATATCTCACAATTACATGCCTTTCCTCCCTGTGCCATTTCCATTTTAATTACTGTTAGTCCTTTAGATTTACATTTTAGACACTTTTTAATCTGTTCCTTTTTTATTATAACAGCACCCAGTAGCGCGCCACTGTACTTAGGTTGTGTCAGCATTTTCATTAAAACACCTCCTTCTCTTTACCCCAAAACTGCCCCTACTCTACAGGGGTTTATATCCAGGCTGCTAAACAGGACTCCAGGGTGAAAACTTGGCCGGGAGTGGAAAATGTACCCAGTTTGTGTGAGGGAGGAAGGAGCCAGCAAAGGAGAATGTTGGGGTTATTCCCACGGTGTAAAATCAGTGCTTGCCGGACTACACACTCAGTGGGGGCACCTGGGAAAACACTTTCCCAACAAGGGAAAGCGGCCACCTGTGTAGGGCAGGGAATGGAGATGTTAAATTGGACTGTGAGCTGCGTATCGGACATACAACAATTACAAGGAGGACACTTACATGAAAAGAATTTCAGTCACTGTACAAATATGAGGAAGTAAGTTCCATCGGCCCACTGTGGAATGGGTACAGATATCATGATAACGCATACATGCACAAAGGTGCGCTCCCAAAATGGCTGCGCCTCACCCACATGGAATCGTACACAAGGTGAGATGGAATCTCCCCTGGGAAGGCCTTACCACTCAGGGGGCTGATACTGTCCCCTAACTGGGTGGGGTAGCATATACAATGCCTGTGTGCGCTTACACAGTAGCCTGCACACAGCAGCTGTTGGAATACACTATTTTTTTTTTTTGGTCAGAGAAACACAAGTAGCCCAAGCTGAAAACTTCTCTAACCCTAACTCCTGCCATCGCATACATGCCTGTAGCAGTTACAATGTACAATTTGCAGGAAGAAGTTGAACTGGGATGGGGGTGTTTAATCTTGCTCTAACTTTTTTTGTTCGTCCAACCTCACAAGAAATTCTTCTTCCAAAGGAGCAGGCCAGCACCACACACCCAAGCTCTCTAAGCTAGAAAAAACAGTCCAGTGTGTATCCAAATCAAATTCTACTGAAAACACTTCACTTCCCCCAGGTACATCGTGCAAAAGGAGCCCTGCAGGGCCTGCCCAGGACCCCTTGCCGGTGCTCATATAGGTCCACCTGCAGTGGTGTTATAAAGTATGTGCCCGCAAACAAATGGAACCCAGAAAAATCTGAGCAAAACTGGACAATAACTCTCAGTCTGAAAGCTGAGAACCGATAGAGTCAGCTCAGTTGTGCAATCATTTAAAAGATGAATGACAGTTTAATAGCCACTAGATAGTCCTCTGGGATCTGTGGTTTGAAAGTAAAATATGTATTGTCGGTACCTCTTTAGGCTGTTTTCCAGCATGTTGTTGTTGTAAAAGTTGAAGCTGCAACTGTTCCTGTTGTTTTTTATAAAACTCTTGAAGCTGCTGCTACAAAGAAAAGAGAGGATGGTAAGTGAAGGGTAGCACCCATCCACAGCTCCGTCTGGTGCCATACACAAACTGGGACTTGAAAAATAGCATCCTTTTATCTGTAATGGCCTGACCTTTAGTTTGAAACTCGACAATAAATTTCAGCGCACGCTGACTATTCTTGGCATTATTGTTTGAAAAGTAATCTCCAAAATGAACTGATGAAAAACATACCATTTTCCACACAAACTAATTAAAATAAGGCACGGGATGACCTTTGATTGTACAACAAAGCCAAATGCCCTTGCTGAGAGAGTCTGGTGAGTATACTGCGAAACGTGCACACGCTCTCTCAAGGCGGAGCGAGGCACAGCTGAGGGGTTGTCTAGCGTGCCCATCAGCAGCGTGGGTAGCCAGCCTCCACTGCGTCCTGTCCCCACCACCTCACCCAGCAACTCCTGTCATTACAGGACTGAGTCTCGTCTTTCCATACGGGTGTCTATGAGTCTGAAGATTAGGATCCCAGGCACAATGGCAGCCAGAAGCTCATTTCAGCGGCAGCATCCATGAAAGAAAGAAAATCAACTCTGGACCTTACAATTTACCAACCCCAAAATGCTTATGTTTAAAAGAAAATTTCTGTAAGCGTCTGAGTCGAAATGGGACTGCGAGAGCTGTCACATCTACACCTGCTCCCACCACGCTCCTGTTTTGCTTTGATTCACACCACTTGGAAGCCTCTGGGCTTACCAAATAAAAGAGTGGAAAGGCACATAAACCTAAAAGATCTACTTCTACCAAGTCCAATTATAGCCTTAATCTTGGTCGCTCGGGTACTCTCCAGGCCCAAACCCCAGTCACTGTGGCCAGGTCTTTCTCTCAGGGATGCAAGTGCAGTGATTCTGTGGGCTGGGTCTGCGCCCTGCGCCACCTGCCCCACCCACCCCGCTCTGCTGTTCTTCAGTGGAAAAGTGCTGCTTGGTGAGGAAATTCTGAGTGGGTGAGGGCCCTGGGTTGCACAGGCACCGGGCGAGGAGGAAGGATAGTTACCTGTTGAAGCATGAGGGCTTGCTGCTGCTGAAGGAGGACCTGGAGCTGCTGAGGGCTCAGAACTTGTTGCTGGAGGATCTGCTGCATTTGCTGGGGAGTGATAACTTGAGGTGTCATCATAGCCACTGACACGGGGACCTAGGATGTTAACACAGGGTTAGTAGGAAGCCAGGAAGCCGCCTGCATATGCAACCCAGTCTCCTAGGTTCAGTGGCTGCAGGTCAGCAGCCCGCTCCAGGAATGGACCAATCTCTCACACACAATGTGTTTATCCAGAGGGGATGCGGCAACAAATCCTTTTTAATCCACTATTGGGTTTATTTTAAATAAAGAAAAAATAAAAAAGCAACCTTGCAACACTGACACGTGTTCCGGGCAGTCTTGCAAGCAAACAAGCACTAAAGACTTAATAAACGCTGCTTGGAGTCAGGTTAGAATGGTTCCAATTCTTGTTAAGAGTGAACTGTCAGTCACACTGAGCTGTAGGAAGTTCACACAAACTTGAATCTTGTCTTACAGAAGGCAAAAGGAACCAGGACCTTTGCAGCTGGAGGTAATACGACCCTCTTCCTCTGGGGACTGTGATTTTAGGAACAATCAAGTAATGCTCAGTCCTGTGGATGAATGAGCCGGGGGCGCACCTTCCGAACTCAAACACAGGCTCCCTTCCTAGGACGCCTTCTACCCTTCCTTATGCACCCAGTACACAGATGTCTCAGTTCTTTCCTATTATGTGTGATACCATTAAAAGCCGCTTTCCATGACATTTCAGTGACAAACAGCTCCAGTGATGAACTTGATAGCATTTCATATTTGCAACTGTTAACACGTTTCTGCACGGGCATCTCTGCAAGGAACCTGCACACAGTATCTGAAAGGATGATGTCTTGTTCAGATAAAACACTGACATTAAAATGACAGGCTGTCTTGGCCAAGGTTACACAAATTGTATTCAAGCGGATACCTAATGACAATGCTATGAATTCTGCAAGCTTTCTAGAATGTAATTTAGCTATTCAAAATAATCACTGCACTTGTGTTTAATTTGCAGACTACATGAGAACCATTTTGTCAGTCCCCGTAATACAAGAAGACTATTTCATGAAAAATCCCCCCCCCAATAAAAAGGAAAGAAAAAAACAATGAAAGAAAAGACAAAACCTGTATGTCTTCTAACAGTAATATTTAAGCATCTTACTTTTCTTTGGTTTCTAATCAAACATGTGACAGCAAGAAGCGAGAAGCAGTAAAAGATATACTTTGTTAAAAAGGATCTGCTGTCATCTCTTGTGTTACAATAAAAGGTAATAACATGTTTTGCACTTTGCCTGTGTGCCACTTAAAAAAAAAATCCGGCAGACAATAGCTGATCAGAAGATAAAAGAATTTAAAAATCTTTCAGGAGGGCAGTAAGCAAAAGCGAGAAATGCAGTATTAATTTTATGTAACATAATGTCTTAATATGCAGTTTATCTTGACTTTTTCACATGATTTGTCCTGTCATTTGCATAGCAAGCTCTCATTCCTAATTTCACAGTCATTATGCACTGATGTCCCGATTTCTCGGCATCACTAATTTTGATGAACTAAAAATGGTTCCTGAAGGTCAGATTCATGTACAGCGAATACCCTCCACTGTTGTTGCAAGCATGTTTGTGCGTGGGGATGTTTATATGCAAGTTTCCCATTGTTTGGAAAACACTATGTAGAACATTTGAAAAATTTCATTAACCCAACTCTGGAAGGTCATCAATGAATTCTTCCTATTGCGGTGCCCTTTCAAGTGTAGATGTAGATATACTGTAATTTAAAACAGATGGGAATGTCTGAATATTTTTACATGCAAAAAGGGACAGATGTATATGAATAGATAAATTATCCTTTTAGAGAGACACTTTGCAGCATGAAACATCCCAATGGTTAGAACAGTGAACTGGCATTCAATCTAGGGCAAACACCACGAAGGCATTATCAAAACACCTACCCATTTATAAATTAATTCCAATTAGTCTACTTTGTCTTCATACAGAAGAAGCGTATTGAGTTTTTCAGTATGTATCGGGTGCCAATCACTATCTTTTGAGCGTTAAAGCCAACATATCACAAGAGAAGTTTACTTTTCCTTGAGAGTTGCATCACCATACAGGGAGGCTTGATTAAGCAAACAAAAGAACCATGTTTAAGGTTTCTTTTTTCCTCTGCATTTCTTGGATACTGTACAATACAAATATTCTTGAGCCAAATTTCTGATGGTGATGAACAGGAAAACAGGCAGGAATAGGGTGGTGTAAGATCTAAACTGGTGATGAACACGAAATTAACAGTGTTCTAGCAGAAATCATCAGAGAAACAACCACTTGGTTGTGATTTTTAAAAGAACTATGGGAAGCCTATGCTACAGAGGGGTGCAAGAGGGCTTCTGGGGAGTGATGGAAATGCCCTCTATCCTGACTGAGGTAGTGGTCACACAGATGTATTCAATTGCCCAAACTCTCCCAATTGTACACTTAAAATGAGTGCATGTACTGTATGTAAAGTATACTTTAACATTAGTTTAAAAAGTTTTAAAAACGGACAAATACAATTTTTAAACCCTTACAGACAGCCAATAGATTACATCTCTTCATCCCATAGTAATTTATTCAACTTCCGTCGTCATGTTACAGAATAGGAAAATGAGTCTCCCCTTCTTTTTGCCTTTGGACATTCTGATGAAGGTGCTGGTGAGATTTAAAATGCTTCAAGTCTCAGGCACAGCCAAAGGAGAAAAGAGGCAAGAAGGTGGGGGCCCCTCCAGCCTGGCGACCAGTCTCTGAATAACCAGAAGTGGGTATTATGTCCTGATGGCCTTGACTTGGCTTTCACTATCTGAAACCACATTTTCACACCAGTTAGCGCTGAGCCTTCAAAGTGGACTAAAGCTTAATTTATAAATGTGGTAAAACTGAGATTTCCCCAACATGTCATGAAAATGTTATGGAAAGCTTTAACAAACATATCCAAATGGACAGAAACCATAATAGAAAAGGAGAAAAAGAAAAAAGGAGCATAGTTTAAGCCTTTAAATAGTTAAGAATTATAGCCTACATATCCACTCCCTTAACTCCCAACGTCCAAGTCTTTCACGTAGCGAGTCCCTGCTAACACTAGGAATCAAAGGGCAGGCAATACCGGCGAGAGGCGATTATAGCCCACACTTTATTGCCCATTGCTGCCGAGGTCATTAGCGGCAAGAGTGATTGTGCCGGTCTTAACCTATTGATCACTGTAACTACTATCATTTAATCCTGTGCTGAATGTCTGCAAAGCAGCTAAAGGCACACAGGAGAGAGTGCTTTAGCATCGAGAAATATGGCCAAAGCTTAGAAATTACACTTTGATTCATAAAATCTAGCCAGTGGTTCAAATCAATAGTATTTAAAACAGTCATGTGAGTTTTTAACTACAGTGCTCTAATATTTATGGGTCCCTCTTTGAGAGTATTCACTCAAAACTAAACTTTTCTCCCCGATTCTATGCCATCTCCCTTACCCTCCTTGGGAAAAAAACATTAATTTCTGATGTTTTGTGTGCTGCAGGGCTCATGCCTTAACTGGGAGTTCAACCTATTTCTTGATTTCCTTCTCAAATGACAATTTAAATACAATGCTAAAAAAATTATATCCCCGATACTGTAGCTACCTTAACTGTCTGAGTATATAGAAATGAGTATGTTTTATGAGTTAACAATGAATCATAGAAGGCAATTTATGAAGAACTAGAATGATTCTGTCTGGCTGCCTTCAGGGACCAGAAATTCAAATTAAACTTCTGGCAGACATTTAAAGAATGCTAGCACACAAAACTGAATTTAAAACACACACACACACACACACACACACACACACACACACACACAGTTAACACTCTTTAGTTGAGTTTCAAGAGAAAATTGTGAACACACACACACACATACACACACACACTGCACGACAGGTACACTGTTGACTGATACCAACTGGGTGTGGCCGACCCCAGGCGCATGCAAGCCTGCCTCCTGAATGGCACAAATGCAGCTGTGCTCGGGCCACGGACGCTGCTCGCGTGGGCCTGCTGCTGCCTTCATACAGCAACTGGCGTGGCCTCAGCCTGAACAAATGCTGTTAAAAGCACATCCGCTGCTGTGTAAATTTTGCCTGATATAGTTTTCCTTTACTTCAAAATGACTACATATCATATGAAAGCTAGAAGACTATTATTAAAACGATTTGCCTTATCATTACCAACGGGAAAAGGTAGGTGATAGGAAAAACAAAAAATCTAAAAATCAAACAAATAAAACCCCCATAGAAACAACACTTATTTCTAATCTAGGAGACATTTGGAAGAATTGGGGGAGAGGGATGGGGGGAAAGGGAGATGACACAATCTAAATACTGAAAATAACACTTTAGCATATTTTTTGCTCTCTTTAGTTTACACTCATGTTAACTACAAGTAAATACTGCCCAGTATAACCAAACATAAAGTCTGTACATCAGCATCTTCTTATGCTATGTGTACAATAATAATAACATAAAATATTTTAATACAGTTTTATTTCCATTAATCTGGGTTAATAATTTAGAAACAATTTTTCATCTCTTTTTATGAACTACATGTATGTCCCAGAAACCTGAGTCCCTCACAGGCTTCACACTGTGCTGCGTCTGGATGACAACTGACCAGGTTAGCAGTGTTACCTGGTTCATCAAATAACAAGAGCAAAACAAATTAAATTAGAAGGCTTTAGCACATCAAAACAAGACCAAAGAAAATGGCTCCATAAAAAAAAAAAATAGAACTATGCCAAATTTTATATAACTCTATAGAAGCTAGCCTGTGTTAAAAAAAAAAACAAAAAAAACACCACCACTGCCGCCCCCTGTTAAAGACAACAGTTTTCATAATTAAAAAGCCAATGGATACAACTGATACACTGGCAAACAGAAAAGTTAGGAGGTGTCTATCCATTCTCACGGTATTTAGGAAGAACACACACATACACATACACATACACACACACACACACACACACACACGCTACCATGCAAGGTAGCTGTATCATAGAGGAAAGAAAATATATTTCTGACATAATATTTCAGTCTTCAAAACACATA